TCTATTTTCGACCGTATGAGTTTCATTTACAAGGCTAAATAGAATATAGGAAAATTATCATCTGTCACATTAGTGTTTCACCGAGTTGTTCCCTTCAACGATATCCACCATCTTCTCGCGTTACTCTGACTCAATTTTTCGAAACTTCTGCCAAATATATTCACTTTCAAGCTGTGGCCGCACTCTTCTTCCCGTAACGCGCGACGTGTCCGTTTTCACATCCTGATCGCGTGCCTCTCGTTCTCTTATACACTCTAATAATATCCCCCCCCCCCCNCCCGTTATCCAATATCTTCTTGCAGCCACCTTCCTCGTATCTCTCTACCTTTTCGAAGAACTCCCGTCTGTATCGCGCGCGCGGAAAAACACACGCACGTGTACGCGTCCGGGAAGCCGCAAGACTGTCGCGTCGCGCGATCGGCCGATCGATCGGCACCGGTTGGACCCCGCGATCAGCTATGATAATGACGGTGACGGCTGTCTCTCGCGATGATCCGCGCACGCCTACGCATGCACGCGTACGCAGGAGAGAGCGAGAAAGAGCACGGTGGGTGACAGATCGCACCTGAATCGAACCTGCGGGAAACAGAGACTGCTGGTACCGTCAGTCTGTGTCCAGTTAGTTCGCGGCACAAGGGTGGCCCCTCCATCGGGGCCCGTCTCCTCTCCCTCTCCCCCCGTCCCGGCCCCCCCACGGATGACCTACAATCTACCTCCGACCGTTTTGTCTCTATCCCCTTCTCCGCACGTCGATCCGTCGCGATATCGGTGTTCTTTTTTCTTCTCCTCTCTTTCTCTCTCTCCTTATCGTTATCGTCGCTGATTTTCGCAAACGGTCTCCATCGCGTTGCAACGAAAAACTCGAAGAAACAAGCGGCTTTCAAACTCGAGAATCGTGACGTTTGCAATGAATTATCTCTCACGAGCTTTCGCACGCGATAGGCATGTGAAAACGTAGGAACTTTTTTGCTGAACAAGGAGAAACGAAAAAAAATTATACGGAGAGAAATTATTTTAGTTATTGCACTTGGAGTAAATTAACTCTGAGAATGTGATAATATGTGCAAAAATTCTTGTTAGCACTTTGTAACTGTATTGTAAACAAATATATGGGCATGACTCTTTTACGAAAAGTATGAAGAGTAATAGAAATTTTGCGAAACAGAGGATTAAGTAGAAAATGTTTTGGATATAAATAACATTAAATAATAATATTATAAAGAACATTCTTATAAATATTTTTCATAATAATATTCAATATGCTTTTGAAACGTCGAATAATAAATATGGAGAGGGCCTGATAATTGGAGAGCACTGACGTTACCGACTGTTTTGTTCCATAAGATCGCTGGTTTTTTATATCAGCTTGTTGGTGCTTAACGCTAGTTTTATTTAAGGAAAATTAAAATTCTGTCATAACTATCGATCGTCAGCATATTTCGAAAGGAAATTCTTGATATTCACTTCAGAATGCAACATTTTTCACGCTTTATACATGATTTTACTCTGACTTTGAAGCTCGGGAAATGTACTTTCTTGCTATTCCGAATATGTTACTTTATACTTGATTTAAGTGTGCAACTGAACAAACACTTGTATATATCGCGTTATATGTGTAATATTTGCTTCATCAGTACCCACCGATATTTCTTCCGGCGAGTCGAAGGACGCAAAAAACGCAGTCATCTGAGCTCCGAAATGCCATAGTGCGAAACGAACGCGCGATATTTCATTCGATATACTCTCAACTGCCGGTTCACTTTCGACAATTAATGATACTTTCGTCATAATGAACGCGGGAAAGTTACTTTCGGCACTCCTAACTATCATTCGCGCGCGCGAGACTCACTTTCGGTAAACCAAGATCACGTAAACATCCCATGTGGCGCAAATGTTGAAAAGACATCTGTTTGGATATCTCTGGGACGTCTCTAGAATATTTTTCTTGAACATTTGTACCATATGGGACGTGGGATGACTTCTCGAATATCCAACATATCGTGCCGTGAAACTGGAACTGGAAGTACGTACTACGGTGCATATTGCGATTCTCGCAGCGCCAAACGCGCCAACTTCATTCGGCACTTCCAACCTGTTATTCCGCGAGACGTTCGACGGATTTTTAACGATACCGCGGCGCTGCACGATACTTACTTTCGATAATTCCAACAATATTTCGCGCGCGCGCGAGACTTTCTTTTGTCAGGTTAAAATATAGAAAGCAACGGCTCGAACATATAGAATTGCCATTCTGTGACGAGAACGCTCGAGACTTCGCGCGATAAACGATGCGAGCCATAAGATAATAATTTTCGACAGTTTTCTACAATCATGCTAATCGCACAAGAACGCACGAAGCCGACGTTCCCGATTCGTGCCACTTCCACGATGATGTTTCGCGCGTGACTGACTTTAAATGGGACGTAAACACAACCGGCAACACAGCTTGTCTGCCACAATATATTGAACGTGTTATGATGTTTACTTTCGGCATTACCGGCGACGTTCATTCACGCGCGATAGACTCATTTTCGGGGAATCGAGACCACGATTCGGAGAATACGAAATAATCGTCCAAGTACGACATGTCGTCCATACACGATCCTGATCGGATCGGCGTACTACGATGCATATCGCGATTCTCGAAGACTGTGTTCCAAAATTCATCGCAGCAGCACTGAAAATATCAAACGTGCGAACTTCATGCGACACTTCTCAGGTAGCAAAACGATGTCAGAGGACGTCAATATGACGTCTTTTGTCACTTTATCACCTGGATCCCAATTCGCTCTTTGCTCCGATGATCCAGTCCGAGATGTCCGTTTTCCGATGATTTTTTGACGACATTACGCTACAATACAAACGCACGATACTTACTTTCGAAAATCCCGGTGATATTTCGCACACACGCGACTTGCATTTTGACGGATCGGAGCATAAAAGCAACGACTTGAATCTCCAAATCGCAAATACGTGACGAACGCTCGAAACTTTGTCCGATAAGCAACGCCGACGACGGTTTATTCCGCAAAATATCCACTTGACGATCGTTTCGTGATACTTTGTTATCAAAAACGTATGAAGCTTACGGCTGTTCGGCTTTCTCGGTCATTGTAATTTATTCGAAACTCACTCTCGAGGCCGAGCTGAAATCGTATAAACGCGGAGCGACTTTGCGAGTTTGACTTTCCACGCCGCGAACTTTCCGTGCAAATGGCGGTGCTTTTGAGATTCTCGAAGCATCAAACGTGCGAATTTCATTCGGTACTTCAGACGACTCGATTTGCGCAAAATATTGATTTTCGGTGATTTTCTATGACGATGTTGAACACGCAATATGCGAAACTTATCGCCGATACTCCAGTTTCCGTGCCATTTCCGACAATAGCCGCTTTCAGAACGCAATAGAACGCTTATTTTATAACTGCCGGAAGTTTTTCGTGCTGAGATTGAATTATTCTTCTAGATCTAAGAGAATAATCCAACCTCAGCTCTCTAAAAATGTCTAACAGTTGCAAAATAAATGTTCTGCCGAACGTGGGCCAGCAACATGGTAAAAAATTTTATGTTAAAAACGTTCCACTGAAATTTTTAACATTTGTCAACAATTTTCAACAATTTGTATGTTGACAAAGTCAAATGTGTTAATTTAATATCATATTTGTGCACTTTTTAAGACGTTTCTCATGTTAAAGTAATACAAAATTCCAGTGCACCATTTTCAACCAAACTTTTTACTGTGAATGTTTTGCGCGTAACTTTTAGATTTGAGACGGGATGTATACAAACATAACCGGCAAAACGATTCTCCTACTGCAACACGACGAGCACACGATATTTACTTTCGGCACTGCAGACTCACGCACGCACGCATTGACGATGTTTAACGCGCGGGTGTCCTTTAACAGGTCCAAAGCAAATAACGATTTGAGACTTCGGCGGGAAGAAAACACGGAAAATACGACCACGAATTATAAAATCCGAAACATCGCGCCGTCATTGCAAGTCTATGATTCTCAAAGTACCGTGTGGGGGCGCCACACGGATGAACTTCCGGCTAATGAGACGCACATTGACCGTGTTCAGTAGAACGTTTAGTTCGCAACTGTTGGAAGTTTCCTGTGCTAACATTGGATTATTCCTATAGATCTAAAAGAATAATCCAATCTCAGCTCAGAAAACTTCCAACAGTTGCAAATTAAATGTTCTGCTGAACGTGGCCATTGAATAATAATGAACCAAATTAATACTGCATATCGGACTAACTATCTAAATATCAGTAGTCACACGAATTCTCGTAAGATTAGCGTTCTTCGATAACAGGTGTTTGTTATGTCCAGCTGAACTTTCTGCACTTTCCCCTGACTTCCCTCTTCCACCTTCTAGTGCCAAATTTATTTTACTTAAAACGCAGAAAGTATGTAAAAAGACGACTCAGTGCGACTAAAAAGAACCAAAAACCTCATCAGTGTTTGCAATTTCTGCACACTCGTTATTCCCCAACGTTCAAACACTCGTCCGTTTCGCGTTAAACACAATCAAAATGAATAGACTAGTCGCCTTCGTTTCTCTCTAATTAAATATTGCTCCGTTAAATAGACAGGCACTTATGAATATTAATCATAAAATTCAACCTCCTTTTTGACCTCAGCGAACTGACCAGTCATCGAAACGTGAGGCTGCTGTTTTAAAATTCTTAACTGTGATTGGTTCATTCGTTCATTACCATCGTTATCTTGCGTTTATGACCACACACTTCGTGCACACGACAGTGTCTTAACGTCCGCTCATTTGAGTCTCACTTTCCGTATTTACAACGAAACAAGTACACACAGTGCCGAATCAAAATCCAACACGCTCTTTCCTCTCGTTCCGCATCGAACGCGTCCTTTGTGCTCTCGCTTATATTTTGCCACCGCACCATTTCTAGGGGAAAATTCACTCGTCGCGACGAGCCTGCGCGGTATTGACTTCGTTCTCGAGAGCGAGGGCGAGATCTCGAAACTGCACGATCTCGAATCGTGTTCGCGGCGCGGTACGGTGAGTGCGTTGTGTATTTGTTTCCCTCTCGCCGTGCGGACTCGATCGGAAAACATGACGCAAGAAGGCCAGTAAGTATACCGTGATCAGCGTTATTCGGCATGGCGATACTCGTCATCGGGCCTGATCGTTGGGCCCCGTGTCCGCTCGGCCGTGTACAGCCGCGTTGGACGTGTTGGCCGACGTTCGAGTGCCGCCCCGTGGCCTTTCGAACGGCACCGCCATGTTGATGGGATGGTTTTATTGATTCTCGAAGTCTCCAGGCGAGAAACACGACGCGATACCGCGGTCGGGCGGAAATGCGAGCACCGAAACTCTCGCTCGCTCGGCCTCGTCCGCCCCGGATCTCACGTCCCTCGATCCCACGAGCCGCATTCTCTTCTTTGTCACGTCCTTTGGCTCGAAGAATGAAACGAGCGGCGTGTCGGACCACGAGCTTGATGACTCTCGTTTCTTCCGATAGCCCGTTGCGACTTGATTTAACAATGATTCCTCGATGAATCGCGAACTGTGACGGATCGATGAGTCTTTCTCGCCCGGACACTTGTCCACGATTTCGCGGGCGTAACGATCTTTGTGCGAGGCATCTTTGTTGCGGTAGCCTTGGAACATGATCCCTAACCTATAAGACGTACAACAGGTCAGATTCCCCTGATGACCCGCGCACGTGGGAAGTTACCTGGCGATGCTCGTTCGCGCGATTTCCTTCAAACGCACAGAGATATGACTTTTAAACAGTCAGGATTGTTCGTCCCGCATGCCTCTATACATGTGTGTTATATTTTCAGGATACCTCCTCCACCAGTCATGTGGGCCCAGAGAAAAGATATCTTATACGTTACTATTTGCCTAGAAGACTGTAAAGATCCTATAATCGAAATTGAACCAGAAAAAATATATTTCAAAGGAGAGGGAGGGACAGATAATAAAATGCATGAAATCGCGATTAATTTATATAAGGAGATTGTCCCAAGCAAAACTATAAAGAATCTGAAAGGTAGGACCTTTGAACTAGTCCTTGTTAAGAAAGAAGAAGGACCATACTGGCCACGGTTAATCAAGGACAAGACAAAGGCTCATTGGTTAAAGAGCGATTTTAACAAATGGAAGGATGAGGATGACACGGAAGATGAAAGCAGCCCACCTGACCTAGAAGAGGTAATTTTTTTTTTGTAGAGGTGTGTGCGTGTATGAGAGAGAGAGAGAGAGAGAGAAAGAGAGATTATACATAATGTATTTATTTACTAATAAAAGAACATTTTCTTGGATTTTACAGATGATGCGGCAAATGGGCGGTTTAAGCGATTCCGGTGACAAGAAACCGAGTTTCGATGACTTAGACGATTTAGGAGATGCCGAGGCCGATAGCGACGACGAAGATCTTCCGGATTTATATGATTAAGACGATGAATAACTGTATCGATTAATTAATTAAATAATTAATTACATTAAAAACAAATGGCAACCTAATGATAGCGCACGATCGGGAAATATTTCAGTAGGCCTTGCTGTTTGTATTCTCCTATTGCAAATAATTTTGCAAATTCGCTAATGGCCGTTTTGCAAGTAGCGAACTGGACGAGAGCAAAATGTGCTGAAGAAAAAAAGAAAACGAAATAGAAAGACAAAAGTATACCGGGTCAGGCACAGTGCGTAAATAACCGACGAGCAGTTATACACATCTTGAGGATCCTCCACACCTCTCCTCCCTGTTAGCCTGTAGTTCATATACTAAGTTATAATGGACAAGCTTTTTTAATAATGTATCGTATAAAGTACTAAGGAGAGATAAAAAATAATGGGAGTAACAGAAAAAAATCACTTGTGGAATTGTTCATTTTGTAAAATCCTACGAAGCACTATTTGACAGGCATGACGAAGTGTTATAAGTGTTACATATGATGAGATAAAAATATCGATACTTTATCTCGTTTCTTTATTGAATCATTCTATATCTGTCTCTTTATCTATCTCTATCCTTATCGAAATGCTCCCTCAGTCTCTGTAAGCGAAAACTTCAAACTTTCTTGTGTGTTTAAAGTTCGCGAAATTGCGTTGCTGAATCACACGATGGAAGTTATCTCTTTATGTAAGATATTGCGTTTATTTAACCAACGATGCTGGACGCGCCGCGTAAAGCCAAGTAACCAGCAGTTATATCCATCGGTAAACTTCGTACTGTTGCAAATTCTTCGGCGGTTGCGTAGTACAATTTAGTCTGTGGATCCGTATATCGTGCCTACGAAGTAAATAACGAGATTTATAGGTTTAATGAGGCTTACGATTCTTATCGAAACAAAGAAATGGCTCTTAGCGAGTATCGTGATAATCTTCGCACTCACTGGTAATCCAGATATGTCGGAATACTTCTTGGCAGGTTTGAAGCTCGGAGGTGCGTTGATAGAACTATCTGGAAATTATCGATGCGCATGCTAAATAGTATCTGACTAGAAATATTCTGTATATGTGTGTGTGAATGACACGACTATTTCATCATATGTATAAACTATTCTTAAATATCTTTGTATACAGTTCAAATATTTCCTCACTATGTACGAACGCAACGATAAGTGGAAATAAAATTGTTTTATCATGAACTCCACGTACAGTGTTTTACCGTGGGTGGCCATGGTAATGAACGCTCCTGGGCCAAAACCTGTTTCAACGAACGCCACGTGCGCTTTTTACCGGTATTACTAGTAGGCCGAAATTTCTGTTGAAACGAACGATTCTTGAACACCGGCTGCGGCTTCTTGTTAGCCTCAATTACTTCCTCACTTGCCATTTTTGTCTATTACCTAAAACAAATAGGCAACAAATGATAAATGATTACGTATACTAATAAGACGAGTAATAAGTGATTATGTACACCAATAAGACTAACAAGAGCTTTCTAAGATCCTTTATCGAATCTGAAACTGATCGATGAGATTTTTCGGCAATAAAATTTATTTTTATGTCCGTAGCTTACAAAGGAAGGAGAATAGTTATAAACCTATTCCTATAGACTATATTAAAAATACATCTCTCTCTCTCTCTATCTATTTATCTACCTTTCTCTTTCGTACGACTCAACAGTATTGCACACAATACTGTTGCATTTGGATGCTTGACCAATGGCTTGGCTCATTTGTTTAAAATCAACAAAACAGAATAATGATCCTTGCTGACATTGCTGAAAAAATCACACAGATGAATAAAATGAATATATTATGTATATATCATCTGTGTTTCGCAAAAGTACTTTGCGAAATTGAAATTATGCTTGTATCCTTGCAGCAAATGGTTTTGTATAACAGCTGGTAGATCATTCTTCATAGAAACAAAAGTCTTTTCACTTGAATCGATCAAACATAAAATCGCATGCTTGTACTACATTAAAACCTGCTTGTGAAATAAATGTACCTCATTGTCTTCAAGACAAGGGCTGCTTGCACGGTTCTTTGTTTTACATAATATCTATATAATATAAATATATGTTTACAAATGTCACAGTCTGTATATTGCCTTTATGATCATTTATAATTATGTTAATTTATACATAGTTTCTCTGGTATTTAATAGTCTCTGTTTGTATTTTGACAATTTTTAAAAGGAAAAATTGAGTTAATGATTAAGCACAGCTTAAATCACCTTATTGTCTATATGTAATTTGATGCTAACATTCTTCTTCATAAATTCTGTATTGATAACATAACTGCAGATACCTTTCATTTAATTTGGCTTCCTTGTCTTGTATATTCACTAATGTTCTTTATTAAATTATATTTTGCTGTGTTAACCTTTGTTATCTGTGATAAATCTTTGTCTTTCTGCTTTGGTAATAATGATCTCAGATATATTTGCATTACATATGTGCTCATCATGTTGGACCATTGTTATTCCCAAATTTGGAAACTCATTTTTGTATTATTTTACCTTATATTTTTCTGTATTTTTATTCATCTTATTTACATCTTTAATTTCTCGTATTATCTTTTTATTAATATTATTGAAATGACATGCTAAGAGAGAAATACTTCCAGAATAAATAAACTTATCGATAAATTTTGTTTATTTCTTTATCTAATGATACACATTTTACGCATCGGTGACATCCAAAGTGCTTCTCATCGCAATGTCCTTCGATTTTTCATCTACTCTTACTAATTCTAAATTCGTATGATACATATCATTGATGTAGGATGTGAAGTTTATTTTACCTACCTTTTTGTTGCCAGTGAGACTTGAAAGGTCAAATTTTGAAAGAATTAATTAAATTTTCTATATTAAGTGTCAATAATTTTACCTTCATACTTTGCACCAATTAGTTAATTTGTTTTAAGTGATAAACTTATTCAAATCTTCGAGTTGCACACACAACAAAATCTCATAAAATTGACAAGTTTTTTTGTGAATGAAAGGTTAATGCTGATTACTGTTTATTTGTTCATAAAAGTTTCAGCAAACTTCGCAATGTTGCTGATAAGACTGATATTAACTAATATTATAAATACACGTACAATTCGTAGCAATCCGGTACTGCAATATTCTAGTAGTGTCAAATGCTGTAAGTGCACTTATCTAGATAGGAAGGCTAGTTCTACTTTATAAATAATCATATATGTTGAGGTTAGAAACTGAAACTGAATTTAAAATTAAAATTAAAAATTGAATTTTAGCTTATATATAAATTTAAACTAATAATTATTGGAGAATTAAAACAGAACGGAACGTAATATTTAAACTTGCATTTTCGCACCTGCATTAATTTCGTCAAATTGTTAAAATCCCTGAGAGAACCCTCCTTGATTAATGTACACCTGTATTCATATACATCTGAATCGAGATACAGCGTTGTATTAAGAAGAAATAGATGTATTTTCTGTTTCAAGAGATGCGGGAAGAAAGAAAGCGTAGACCTGTCACCTCTCTCAGTTGAGCTTTACATTCGTCGGTTAGATTTTCATCAAAAAAAGCGAACCGAGTGTAGAAAGTGCGTTTGATGGGAACATATATGACGACGGGGGGATTGTACGGAAGGTAGTGGGGATTGAATATAATACCGGGGTAGAGGGACGTGTCACATATCACCTTGGCGAACACGTGAAGGTCGGAAGGGCGAGAACGAGCTCGAGAATCCTGTTACAGGTTGCACATTGCACGAGCGGCTGTCACGAAACGCACGAAGCATGGCGCGCAAATTCTTCGTTGGTGGTAATTGGAAGATGAATGGCACCAAGAGTGAGATCAACGACATCGTCGCGTTCCTGAAGACTGGCCCGCTCGACCCCAATGTCGGTACGCGATATGTGTAACCAGTGTATACGTGCAATGTATTATAAGGTTTACATCAGGAACGTAGCCTCCGGCGAACCCTGGAGTTGATTCTTCCTTTGAGAGCAATGATTTTCATTCGATTTGGTACTTCAAGAAAAATTACTTCAAACGCAAAAAAATCGAATCAAACGGGAATTTCAGGGACATTCTTGTTCCGTTGATTTCCTTCAAAGGAGTTTTGTTTCTTCACAGATTCTCATTTTAATCAATGTGATTTATGTAACATGAGATATTCCAAAGTTTGCTCTCTTATGAAAGATGAAAGTCCAGATTTATCAGAGAATCTGGCATCTGATGCAAATACTTATGTAACGTTGCTGCATGTTTGGTCGAATCTAATCCGTACGGATTTGCTGTAACTTAATGAAACTTGGGCGGTTTGCAGAGGTTGTGGTCGGAGTTCCCGCGATATACCTCACATACGTGACGTCTATCGTGCCTGGTAACGTCAGTGTCAGCGCACAGAACACGTACAAAGTTCCCAAGGGGGCATTCACCGGCGAGATCAGCCCAGCGATGCTTCTGGACAACGGTATTCCCTGGGTGATCCTTGGTCACTCTGAACGTAGAAACGTATTCGGTGAAACGGACGAGTTGATTGCGGAGAAAGTTCAGCATGCCTTAGAAGCTGGCTTAAAGGTGAGTAATGATCCCATTGGTGAGACAGTCGACCGATTAAAGATACCGAATACTACTTTTTATAACATTTTCAGGTGATCGCGTGTATAGGCGAGAAATTGGAGGAACGCGAAGCGGGTAAGACCGAGGAGGTGGTTTACAAGCAGACCAAGGCGATAGCGGACAAGATCAAATCCTGGGACAATGTGGTGCTGGCTTACGAGCCAGTCTGGGCGATTGGCACGGGTAAAACCGCGACGCCGCAACAAGCGCAGGAAGTTCACGAGAAGTTACGGGACTGGTTGTCCAAGAACGTCAACCCCGACGTCTCGCAAACTCTGCGGATCATCTACGGCGGCTCCGTAACAGCGGGCAACGCCAAGGACTTGGCGAAGGAGAAAGATATCGATGGGTTTTTGGTCGGTGGCGCATCGTTGAAACCCGACTTTGTACAGATCGTTAACGCTCGTTGTTAGAACGAGCAGAAATTGTCAGCTTCCATGACACTGTGTCAAACGAAATGTAACAGAGATTTATTCATATTATGAGTACGCGAGAGACAGAGAGAGAAAGAGAGACGATGCGTATTGTTGTTCATTCTGCCCGAATGTGTACAGTTTATTCTAATGATGAAAGGAAAGTTATATTCGTCATATACTTCCAATCAAGTTTTAAAATGCTTACCATGTATCTATACTAGAGAAGTGTGTTATATTGTTGTTATTACCGTTGTACATGTACAACTTTCGAATATATATACGATGCTGCAAAATGTGCATCCTGGAGCAAGAGATTATCTAAACTTAACCAATCAATTTCTGTATGGTACTATCGATACAATTAATGGATGAAACTCGAAGATTTCATTAGGAGTTAGCAATAAATGTTAGAACGAGTCTGTTACTTCATACAATTGTTGCTCGTGAGCTTATTTAATCAATTCTCTTACATAGACGCTCTTTGGTACTTCTATATTCGAGGCTTCTCTGAAGTGATCTTGTTTTGCTCTCGCACACGCAATATCCGTTAAAGATTTGAAAGAACGTGGTTCCCAAACCGCCAATTCAGCTAATACCTTACGATTCAAAAAAATATTACACCTACTTAAACCTTCCTTAAGAATTTGAAAATTTATGCCATGTTCTTGTGCACCAGCCTGTATTCTGTGCTCCCACAGCTAAAAGTAAAAATGTAATGGAACTAAGAGATCGCAAGATACTTTAAACTACTAATAGATCATCCATAAATTTCAATATTTTGTGCAGTACCTCTCTCATATCCTCCTTTTTTTGTTTCCTGCCTTTGGTGCAATATTGTAAAGCCCTTTGTACACTCCTAATAGCTATGCTGTAGCAGTTCCTCCTTCTACCCAAGTGATGCTAAGGATATTATGCAAAATATTTAAAAAATTGTATTAATAATTATAATAGACAAGCATAGAGAAACGTTTATTGCAGAAGTATCACTTACCGCGGCAAGCATAAATATTTTTCGTTTCCGCCAGAATTCATCAGGCCCTCGGCTTCTTATTAATAATGGTAACGATAGGAAAACCATTCTTGACCTTAATCAACTCAATCGGATGAATTCGTACAATTCGTAATTTTACGTTACGTGAACACAGTCGGAACGTGTATCACACTTAAATCATACAGAAGTTAGGTTGGTCTATAGTTCATCGCCTGAGCAGATTATTACGTAATACTACTGTATAGCCAGTTGTTCTATGCCGCCTATAAGAAAGAGCCGTCTCAGAAACGAAGGACAGACGATGCTCGATATATGTATTTTGCCCGTAGGCGCAGACGCGGGGATCAGATGATAATACATCACATACACCACACACACTCAACATGCATGTGTGTGTGTGTGTGTATAACATGTGTAAAATATATTTACTTTTTCTATTGGCGGAGACATCAATTCGAGGCATGCGCATTACGTTCAAAATACATACAGAGAAAGAGAGGAAAATATATTCCTGCACCGTGGTTAGGAGACAAGATTTCTCTCTCACTCTGGCCATATAGTAGCATTACATGTATGGAACAGACGGACTGCTTAGCGCTATTTATACAAATGCTATACTTTTTTCATGCGTTTTTCGCTATCCAGCGGCAACGTTTCGATCACGTGACCTGTTTTGATGCTAAAAATGAGCGTCAGCATGAAAAGGCACCTTAACGGTGCCTCATTAAAATCGCAACTTTGTAGTTTAAAAATCTCCGTTATGAGCCGCTAGTGTCATTAATTTAAATTTGTATCTATCGCGTGTGCGCACCATGCGCATAAAGCTCGTATCAGACTACGGATTGGAGATTGAAAATGAATTGAAATTTGACCAATCAGTGCAAAGTTCACTAAATTTCACTAAATTTGAATTCAGTTAACTTTGCACTGATTGGTCGAATTTTAATTCAATCTCAATCTCCAATCAGTAGTCTGATACGGGCTTAACACGTTCATTGCCAAGCTGAAAATTGGAATTTCGTATTTTTAAAATTTTTTAATTTAGTTTTTATTGTGCTCAAAGTAAGTTAATATATTATTTATATGCTTTTATTATTATGTACATAGGATTTATGTACTCTGAATATCTATAACGCGATAACGCGTGATCGGCCGTTTGGTGAGAACTCGCATCACACGACCATCGCGTGATTGGCAATGAACGTGTTAAGTCGTGGTTGGTTGCCTAAGGCCGATACTTATAGACGGATCTTACATACAAGAATGTCTTAAATTTATCTTCAGATTCTTGATGGTTGACATCATTGGCTACGAAGCATCTGAAGATGAACTTAAGTCGGTCTCAAATATAAGATCCAACTATGAATACCAGCCTTAGTCCGTCTACAATAGGTGCCTCAAGCCCTAAGCCTTAAGAAATTGAACAATCACAATCGAATTATAAAAGAATAATCAATTGTGATTGGTTAATTTCTTAAGGCTTAGAGCTTAAATTCTCATTGTAGACCCCGCTTAAGTTCCAGTGTACGATAAATGCTTTAAGCCTTAACCCTTTGACCGCTATGAACCCATATATGGGTTCTCACACAACCATTCGTTTTTGGCTATGAACCCACATATGCGTTTTCGCATAACCATTCGTTTTTGGCTATGAACCCACATATGCGTTCTCACGCAACCATTCAGTTTAGGTTATGAACCCACATAATAATTTATTTTATTTATTTTTTCGTACGGAGTGGGCAGTCCACGGCGTACGCTTAACGCCGACAACGTCTGCTCAACGTGCGCTCTTTCGTAAAAAGTACGTAGTCCACGGTGAGCTGTCTTACGGATTGGGCAGTCCACGGTGAGATGCCTCGTGCGGAGTGGGCGGTCCATGGCGCACGCTTAACGTCTGGCAACTCAGCGCTCAAAGGGTTAAGAAATTGACCAGTCACGATTGAATGTGAAGAGAATAATCGATTGTAATTTTTATTCGACTTATATTAATGTAGCCGTACATCTAACGTAACCGTAGGGAAAAACTTAATAATTACACATTTTACGTAGGTCATATTAAATTTTATGGTTAAATTGGGGTAAAATACCTAACAAAATGTTTGAATATTAAAAACCGGTTGGATATATTAATATACATATTTTCACTTAAAAATAAAAATTTCTTTTTGTAATATAAATTCTCAGCTCAGTCCAAATTCTTCATCTATTTCATCTTTTTCTTTCTTTATACAAATATCCTGCAATGCATAAAATTATAAAATTACATATATATATATATATATAGATTTTGTCATTGTCTAGTATTAAAATTGATCTAATCATTCTGTTTACATTTATCATTGTCAAATCTTTACTTTCTGCACACTGTTTGTCCTTTCTTCTTTCCTTTCCCTTATTTTCTTTCTTTTCATCTTTTGGTTCTTCATCTATTTCTTCTCTTTCTTCTTTTACAGAGATATCCTGCAATGTGTAAACATTGTAAAATTATGTACATATGTATATATACACACATACATACATATAGAGTGGCCCACATAAACATAAAAACTCTAAACAATTCAAAAACTAAAAATATTTGTCGTATCAAAAAGTTGCTCAGAAAAGTTTGTTGAGAAAGTTTCACGTATTCGAGGGATCTTTCTAACTATTGGGTCTCGGGGTTTGAGTTCATGTGGAACCCAATTTCCTTGCTTTTGTACCATACCAATGGTCTTAAGACGGTTTGAAATTGCTTGTTGAGTCACTCCCAAGTTTTCGGCGAGCTGCTCTTGAGTTTGGCATGAGTCTTGGTCCAATAATGCCTCTAACTCAGCGTCTTCAAACTTTACTGGCCTTCCTTCGCGTTCTTTATCTTCCACGTCAAACTCACCGTTTTTAAATTTTTGAAACCACTCACGACAACTTCTCTCACTTAAAGCAGCATCACCGTAAACTTCTACAAGCGATCGATGCGCCTCAGCTGCAGATTTCTTTAAATGAAAGAAATAAATCAAAACTTCCCGCAAATGACGCTTATTCGGTACAAAACTCGACATTTTCGAACGAAAAAATGTATACTGCCAATGCAAAGTCAATAGTATTTTAAGGTTATGTTGTTGCCAGGTGTTCAAACTTTCTATATGATGTTTTACATCTGACGATTTCAAAGTAATCTTGTCGGTGGAGCCATCTTTTGAAAACGGCGGAAACTTATTTGTATTACTAATATATAAACCAAAGTTCTCCCCCACTCCCTCTTGAAGGTGGGCTGAGGTATCTTCGTAATTTCAAATAGAATTTTCTAAGATGTTACATATTTGGATTCTATAGGAAAGAAACAAGTAAACATTATTTGAAAAATTTCTTTGAAAAATGCTTCTATCAAAAGTTATAAACATTTAAACTTTAAAGTAGAATGCATTCAAGCTAATAATAAAACCATAAATTAAATAAAACACTTCATAGTTTTTTGTTTTTTTTTTACTTTATTAAATCTTCGAACTGTCGACCATTCAGAATTTTGTTTTCTTCAAAATTCGCTGTATTGAAGATCGTGTAATTCCAGATGTGTTTACTAATTCGGATTGAATTGCCGCGAAAATGTTGACAGTGTTACCATAATTAGTTACTGGATTTACTTTTTGTCTTTTAATTGCACTTAGTTGACCATGAACACGTAAACGCTTCTCCAGACGAACAAATGTCATGTGCGATTTTGTAATATCATAACGTTCAAAAAATAGCTGTGTTGCATGTCGAGAATATTTCTCACATTTTCCCAAAATTAGCAACATATCAACTTCCACATCAAATCGAGCCATGCTTTTCGAAATTAATTGCATGAGAATAGGCTTAGAATTGACTAAATGAATATGTGCTTATCTCCGAGTGCACGTTTATTACGTATACTACGTGTGTTTATATTTTATCTCGGATCTTAGGTCTCAATATTTCTATAACAAAAACAAAGACTTCTTGGAGAATTACCACCGATTATGCAAAGAGAAATATTTAAATATTTATAACTTTTGAAAAAAGGATTTTTCAAAGAAATATTCCAGATAAGATTTACTTGTTTTTCCTGCAGAACACAAATATGTAATATTTTGTGGGTTTCATTTGAGGTTTTATTTGAAATTATAAAGTTACCCCTCACCCCTTTCAAGAGGAAGCAGGAGGAAATTTTGATTTGCATAGTTAGGAAGATCCCTTGAATATATAAAACTTTCTCATGAACAATTTTTTAATACGGCAAATATTTCTAAAGCTTTTGGACTGTAATACTTTATGTGGGCCACCCTGTATAGGATTTTGTCATTGTCTAATAATAAAAATTGATCTAATCATTCTACTTACACTTTCCATTATTGTCGAACCTTTGTTTTCTGCACACAGCTTTTCCTTTCTTTTCTTCTTTCTCTTATTTTCTTTCTTTTCATCTTTTGGTGATAATGTTTCTGGATATTCCATTTTAATTATTATTTCTTCTGATTTTACAAGTACATCTGCTATGTCTATTGTATCACTTTCCCTTTTCCGCTTGTTATCAACTTTGTCAATGTTGTTATTTTCAGTCTAAATAAATAACTCATGATATAAATAAATAACCTTTAAACATTAATTTGCGAAATATTATGAATAATTGTTAGAATACGTAATAAGTTCTAAAAGTTCCTGACTAATTCTTATAAGTGAATAGAAAAAAAACAACAGTATTACTTTTCAACATAATCTCCCTTTACTTCAGTACATTTTCCATGTCTTTGAATTAATGTTTCTATGCCCTTGAAAATATAATCTGAAGTTAGAAAGAGGATCATAATAAAGTATTATAGTTTCATCCCCGGTAACAATAAATTCCAAAACTTCTTTTTGATTCCCTTCACAAAGCTCTAAAAACTGTCGGGTACAGATCACACGTTGTTCCTTTTGAACTACAAGGAGAAGTAGGGGCACTCATCTTGCACTGACCTTTTTTGTAAGAAGCTTCTCGTGAATAATTCGAAAAACGGTTGATTTAGAAAGTCCCAACTTTGCTGAAATTTCCCTCAACTTCAACTGTTCGTCATTGAGCAATTCCTCCTCGACAAGAGACATATTTTGCTCCGTCATTACTTCCACTGGCAGACCTTTGCGAGGATCATCTTTAATGGACTCTCTTCCTAGGCGAAACTGTTTAGCCCATTCTTTTACGGTTGAATATGACGGAGAAGCTTCTCCATAAACACCATCCAATCGCTCTTTAATTATACTTGGGGAAAATCCTTCTTTGGTCAAAAACTTTATTACAGCGCGGTACTCTATTTTCGACATTTTAGCCACAGCACGTGCGACAACTTATCTCAACACTGTCTCCAACCGACTAACACAAGAGTTAAAACTGGTGCACTATATTCTCCACAGATGGCACTATGTGTCACGAACGGCATATTAAAATTGGCACATATTTTGTATGTTAGGCCGGAAACTTTTGGAACTTACTACGTAATTATAATTACAACTTGCCTTAATTGTTACCGTTCATTCTGTTGATTTATTTTCGGAATAATAAGTACAGCTTTCTAACCACTCAACCGGTGTGTTTTCAGTTGGCTTTCCATACTTATCTAATTTCCCCTTGTTTATGATACGTTTCTTTGTTGATGATTTAATATGTGAGTATTAATATACCGTTACGCTCAACGTTGCTGGAATGTTAATAAAATAAGTTTAGACGAATATTTTCATGTTACTAGGAGGTTAATGACAGATTTATTAATTTCCGTAGAATGTTACCATTTTATAATTTAAAGTTACCGTAACTTTATTGAAATGTCGATGTAATGTGAGCGTTATTACACTAAGTATCACGCATATTATGTATATGATATAATATGATATAACATAAAATAAAATATAAAATAGACTTCGTATAATTAAATATGTGTAATTAATGTCAACATTCAATATTGTATAAAAAGTGTTAATCAATTGTAATTGATACACGTGGAATTTGTGTAATAACACTAAAATATAATATTATAATTATATCTTTATAGCGATAATTTTTTGTACAAATTAATATATAATATGCACATCTATATTCTATATCATACATTAGAAGTTATTAAAAGTCATTAAAAGTACACTAAAAGTTAGGAAATTTTTCATGGAACAATGACTTCACTTATTTTAATGGCATCCATACAATACATAGACGATACCGTTGAGAATGCTGTCATTATTTGATAAAATATCTGCGAAATATCAATATGAAGTAGCAGATGTCAATTATCCTATTAATTTCACTATATATATTCATCAGTGCTGTAGCCATACATCTGATATAGCCTTTGTGAAAAGATTAATAATTACACATTTACACAAAGTTGAACACATATACAAAGGTTAATAATTATATCATATTAAATCTTATGGTTAAACTGAGGTAAAATGCAACAAAATGTTTGGGTACTGAAAACCGGTTGGGTGTAATAATATACAAATTTTTATTCTAAAATAAAAATTTCTTTTGTAACATAAATTCTCAGTTAGATCCAGATTCTTGGTCTATTTCTTCTCTTTCTTCCTTTATAAAAATTTCCTGCAATGCGTAAACATTATAAAAAATTAGCGCGCGCGACACACACACACACACAGATTTTGTTATTGTCTAATAATAAAAATAAATCTATTCATCCTACTTACATCTTCCATTATTGTCGAATCTTTGCTTTCTGCACACTGCTTCTCCTTTTTCCTTTCCTTCCCCTTATTTTTTTTCTTTTCATCTTTTGGATCTTGATCTATTTCTACTCTTTTTTTCTTTACAGAGATATCCTACAATAAACATTATGAAATTACACACACAGAGAGAGAGAGAGAGAGAGAGAGAGATTTTGTTATTGCTAATAATAAAAATTGATCTATTCATCCTACTTACACTTTCCATTATTGTTGAACCTTTGCTTTCTGCACACTGATTCTCCTTTCTTTTTTTCTTTCTCTTATTTTCTTTCTTTTCATCCTTTGGTGATAATCTTTCTGGATATTCCATTTTAATGAATATTTCTTCTGATTTTATAAGTACATCTGCTATGTCTATTTCAGTCGTATCATTTTCCATTTCCCAGTTTTTATCAATTTCGTCAACGCCATTATTTTCAGTCTAAATAAATATCTCATGACATAAGTAATTTTTAAACATTCATTTATAAAATGTTACGAATAATTATTAGAATAATTATAATTACAACTTGCCTTGACTGTTACTGTTGGTCCTGTTGATTTACTCCTAGAATAATGGCTGTAATTTTCTAATTGTTCAGCTGGTGTGTTTTCATTTTGCTTTCCATATTTATTTAATTTTCCCTTGTTTATCATACGTTTCTTTGTCGATGATTTCGTCATGGTTTCAGAGGTCATCAATGGTTTGACTGAAATATGTGAGTAAAATAAATTAATATTATAGGAATAACAGGAGAGAATTGAGTATTGTCATTCTACATTGAATATACATGTGTTCAAAATATGAAATGTGTCGAGTCATTAAATAAAATATTTCGTTATTATCATTTAGGAAATATTCACAGAGTATCACACTTTCACCCTTAGTGGTCACATTCAATGCTATAGCTGAAGCAAGTGAAAATAAATTAATATTATAAGAATGACGAGAAAAAGAATTGAATACTGTCATACATGATTTGTCTAAAAAGCTTCAAGACTGACATTATGAAGAATCAAAAAATCAAGATATATAAAATTCTATTAACCCCTTGACATACAATGACGAGTCTGACTCGTCATTCATTTCATGGGCCACTGTAGACTTTGACGAGTCTGACTCATCAAGCGCTTTTTTCGGCAGACGCCGAAAAATAAATTAAATAATAAAAATCCAAATTTCAAAATAAAATGTACTCTTTCTCAGCTTTCACGTAACTGTTCAGTTGATCGGAATTAAATAGTATTTTTGGTCGCATTAAATTCCATTTAATTTGTATGTCAAGGGATTAATTACAATGTTCAACATAGTCTCCTCCAATGTCAATGCAACGTTGCGAACGTTCTTTCAACTGCTGAAAACTATTATAGTAATCTTCCTTGGGGATGGCCTTTAATTCCCTTGTCAGATTCGTCTGGATATCTAAGTTCTCGTCAAATCGCCCTCTCTTCATTTGCATCATTAATTTCGGGAATAAAAAGAAGTCTGCCGGGGTCAAATCTGGCGAGTACGGGGGGTATTGAAATGCCGGCACCTGTTTACGAACTAAAAACTGGCCCACGATTGTCGCGGTATGCGTTGGTGTGTTATCGTGCAACAGGAAAAAGTTCTGTTCAGCGTAAAGCTGCGGACGAATGCGTCTGATTTGTGTCAGAAGACGTTCGAGCACCTCTATATAGTACTCAGTAGTGACTGTGGTGCTGGGAGGGACAAATTCATGGTGAATCAAGCCATCTGCGTCAAAGAAAGCAATCAACATCGTCTTTATCTTGGACTTTGTTGTTCTCACTTTTTTCGGTATTGTTTCTTCCGCGGTCAAACACGCAGCACTCTGCCGTTCTGTCTTCGGTTCATATTCATAACACCACGATTCGTTGCCCGTAATTATTCGCTGAAGAAATGATTCGTCCTCGTTAGTCATGTCGATCAAATCTTGAGAAGCTTGAATTCGCTGCTCTCGTTGCCCATGCGTCAGCAAGTGAGGGACGAATTTCCCGCACATCTTTCGTCTGTTTAAATTTTCACGGATAATTATGTGAACCGAATCTTTACTGATTTTCAGTTCCTCAGCTATCATGCGACATGTGCAAGAACGATCCAAGTTGAGAAGAGAGCGAACTAGTTCGATATTCGCGTCGGTGATGCTTGTGGAAGGACGGCCCGATCTTGGCTTATCTTCCAACGATTCCCTACCTTCACGGAAACGTTTGTACCACTCGAACACACGCGGACGTGACATACAGTCTTTACCGTACACTTGTTTCATCATACTATAGGCCTCGGTTGGCGTTTTTTGAATTTTAAAACAAAATTTGAGAGCAGCGCGTTGCTCCATTACGGCGATTATGACGAGCGTAACAATCTCACAAAAAAAAAATGCATAACCACCATTCCCACAAATATATTGCAGTGACGACGTGAAACAGATTTTACAAGTAGCGAGGTTAGCCCTAAAAAGTCCCGTAGGTGTCCGAGAGATAGCGCTACTTGTACGTTTAAGAAAAAAATCAGTCTCGAAACTTTTTCGACAAACCATGTGAGATGTCTTTAAGTCCTAATCTACAATAGGTGCTTTAACCCTAATTTTAAGAAATTGACCAATCACAATCGAATTATAGAAGAATAATTTATTGTGATTGATCGATTCCTTAAGACTTAAAACTTTTATATTGTAACTATTGTAAACTTAATCTTAAGACAGCGGCACACGACTTGTTTTCGCGCTGGATCGCTTATCGGATGGAAAAAATACCGCGTTCTAATTGGTGCATCTCCGAAAATGGATGGGAACATACCAATCGGAACGTGGTGTTTCCATCCAGCAAACAATCCAGCACGAAAACAAGCATCGTGTGTCGCTTAAATCCTGGTCTACTATAGGGTTACGTTCGAAAACTTATATATGTTTTAGAATAAGAGGTGTGATAATTTAATTCCCGGAATGCACCTTTAAAATGTTTCATCATCCGTAATTACTCTCGGAAACAGATGCACACTTGAAGAAAGATCAGTCGCGACATCAAGCCGACGCTGTTTCTGTTCATCCGTCAAGATCCGAGGCACAAACATCGCAGAAATCTTTCTCATACCCAATTTTTTAGTTAAAATTAGTCTAACTGTTTCTTGATTAATCTGCAATTCTTCAGCTATCAATCTCACATTTAATCGTCTGTCGGACCGTATTGCATCTCGCACTCTGTTAATATTAGCGTCTGTCATTGTTGTTTCTGGCTGTCCGCTTTTGGGTTCAATTGTCATATCTTCTCGCCCATCTTTGAATCTCTTATGCCACTCAACATACTCGACTTTTACATAACATCTTCACTATATGCCATTTGTAACAATTGTAACGTTTCCGTAACACATTGCTGATTTTGTCTCAAAATCTGATATTAATACATTGCTCTAAGTTTCAATGAACCATTTTTACGATCACCCAAAGTGTACACGCGAATATTTATTATCTTCTCAATAGCTAACTAACAATTAGCTCTATCAGCTTGAAATACACCCGTTAGATTAAACATGTTCAAACACGAATCCTAGTATGATTTCGATATAATTAGATCACGGGTGACACCACACGGCCATTCCGGGAATCAAATTGTCACACCTCGTACATAAATCTACAGAAATATATTGATTGGTTGGTCAACTTCCACAATCAATCTGTGTAGAGCCACAAGAACACAACACAACTATCTTAAAACCGAAACCACGAATTCCCCATTTTCTAAATTCGACATTTTTCAAGCACTTTCGACATATAAGCAGTTGCGCGAGCGTTTAAAAAACGCTTAGAAAATTTATAATTTTATACAGATGATCCCTATTCACTTCTCCGTCAAAAACATTAGCACTACTTAGTTTTATACTCGAAGCACTCGTATTACTAATTTCCTCTTCTTTGGCTTCTTTTTCTTCATCTATACTCCAAGGAGATTTCTTTTTTCGAGGCCTCGATGAACGTTTGGACTGTCCGCGTGTCGCTTTCGGATACGAAGTCATGCTGCATTCAGCTACGTATTCACTCAACAAGAGACGAAAGCGAACTGATCGTAGGTCAAAACAAGTTTGAAAGGAAAAACAGATAAAATTTTTACCAACAGACTTTTCAAACGAAGGTATAAACACGCTCCGAGAACGCAGATGTAAACGCGACCGCCCGAGGGTCGCTAAGCCCGTCTGAACTCGTCACCCGAACCGTCCGCTTTAATTTCGTAACTTCGTAAATACTGCAGATATCGACTTGAAATTTTCAGGGAATATTCTTGAATAATTTAACAATCGATTAAGACTATTTCCAAAATATCGATTTTTTTCACCCGATAAAAGAGGTTTCTTCCTTAAGCCTGTTCTGCAATATATCGTACGTCGCTGTCGGATGCCGGGACACAATCGATGGTCCAATGATGAGAATTCATTCTCGAAAAATAAATTATCTCATTGGATTCTCGGCTGTTTCCGACATCCGACATACGGTGTATTGTAAAACAACTTAAGGCTTGTTGTTTCAATGAGAACTTTTTAATTTGCTTACTGCTTACGTCTTAAAGCGTTGTCTACAATGGGCAATAGGAATATGTTCATAAGAAATAAGAATAAGAAAATAACCAATCATATTCGAATGTAAGGAAAATAATTGACTATGATTGGTCAATTTCTTATTCATAC